AGGATGGCAGCTGGGCCTCAGCTCGGCGTGGACCCAGGAGACCCCCTTCAGCTCGACGGCGACCTGCGGTCTGGTCCCCCAGGAGTGGTCGCCGTCGTCGTCCAACTCCTCCTCCTCCTCCTCCTCCTCCTCCTCCTCCTCCTCATCCTCATCCTCCCCCTCCTCCTCCTCCTCCTCCTCATCATGAATCGTCATCGTCATCATCATCATCATTATCATTCATCATCATCATCATCTCATCATCATCATCATCTCATCATCATCATCCCATCATCATCATTCATCATCATATCAGCAATATCTCATCATCATCCATCGTCAGCAGCACGTCGCCAGCATTATCTCATAATCACCGCAATCACATCATCATCAGCATCATCATCATCATCATCATCATCAGCATCATCATCAGCATCATCATCATCATCAGTATCATCATCATCATCACCATCATCATCAGCATCATCATCATAGTCATCACCATCAGCATCATCATCATCATCATCATCAGCAGCAGCATCATCAGGATCATCATCATCATAATCATCATCAGCAGCAGCAGCAGCAGTAGCAGCCTCATCATCATCAGCAGCAGCATCATCATCAGCATAATCAGCATAATCAGCATCATCATCATCATCATCATCATCATCATCATATTCATCATCAACAGTATCAGCATCATCATCATCATCATCATCATCATCATCAGTATCATCATCATCATCATCATCATCATCATCATCATAATCAGCATCAGCATCAGCATCAGCATCAACATCAGCATCCGCATCATCATCAGCATCATCATCGTCGTCGCCATCAGCATTAAGCATCATCATAGTCATCATCAGCATCCGGATCAGCATCAGCATCAGCAGCATAATCGTCAGTATCATCAGCAGCAAGCATCAGTATCAGCATCATCAGTATCAGCAGCATGATCATCATCAGCATCAGCATCAGCATCATCAGCATCATCACCCCCATCAGCATCCTCATCAGCAGCATCATGATAAGCAGCAGCATCAGCATCATCATCATAAGCATCGAACTTATCAGCAGTCTCATCGTCATCATCATCAACAGCAACCTCATCGGCAGCAGCAGCAGCATCAGCAGCATCATCATCAGCAGCAACCGCAGCATCAGCAGCAGCATCAGCATCATCATCAGCATCATCAGGATCATCATCATCAGCAGCATCATCATCATCATCACCATCATCATCATCAGAATAAGCATCATCATCATCAGCATCGTCATCATCGCCAGCATCAGCATCACCATCATCAGCAGCAGCATCATCATCACTATCCTTCTTCTCCCAATCCTCCTTCATATCCTCCTCCTTCACCACGTCCTACCTCATCCCACCCTCCTCCTCCACCTCCTCCTCCACCACCACCTCAGCCTCCTCGTCCTTCTTGTCACCACCTTCCTCCTCCTACTACTCCTCCTCCTCCTCCTCCTCCTCCTCCGCCTCCTCCTCCTCTCATCCTCCTGTTCTTCTCCTCCTCCTCCTCCTCCTCATCCTCCTCCTCCTCCTCCATCCTCGTCCTCCTCCTTCTCCTCGTCTCTTCCTCTTCCTCCTCCCCCTCCTCCGACTCCTCCTCAATCCTCCTTTTTCCTTCTCTTTCTGTTTTCCTCCCCCTTCTTCTTCCTCTCCCCCTCTCCTCCTCCTCCTCCTCCTCCTCCTCATCCTCCTTCCTCATCCTCCTCCTCCTCCTCATCCTCATCCTCTCCACGCACGTCCTAGCTCCTTCGCTTGCTCCTCCTTGTCCTCCTTCTCCTCCTCCTCCTCCTCCTCCTCCTCCTCCTCCTCCCCCTGCCTCCTCCTCCTCCTCCCTCCTCCTCCTCCTCCTCCTCCTTCTCCTTCTCCTTCCTTCCGCCAGCCACATCCTGATCGCATCATCATCATCATCATCATCATTACCACCACCACCATCATCATCATCATCAGCAACAGTAGCATCATCATCATCAATCATCATCATCGTCATCAATCATCACCACCACCACCAACCACCACCACCATCACCATCATCATCATCATCATCATCGCCTTGCCCTCCCCCTCCGCCTCATCGTTTTCATTTTCCCCCTCCCGAGAACATCCTCACTGTTCGCACCACCCGACGTTCACTGGGCCAGGCTGGCGTTCACCAAGACCTCGGGCGGGCCCGGCATATCCGAAAGCTTGAAGTTTACAAAGTTTGCAACGGCTCAAGGATGGAGCCTGGGTGTTTTTTCGTGTGGTTCTCGCCTTAGCGCCGCGCACAATCGCCGGTTCGTTTTCAAAATGGCGCTCTCGCTTTAGCGCCGCGGACATTCGCCTGAAAAACTTGCAACCGCTTCAAAGATAAAGGCCAGGTCCTTTTCACTACATGGCTCTCGCCTTACCGCCGCGCACATCCATACGACCCAACCCTCACCATCCTATTTCAAAAAGAATCGGTGCACATCCACCCGACCCAACACTCACAATTCTACGCAAATCCATACGACCTAACCCTCACCGTCTAAGGTTGAACGACTACTCGGCGCGATTCCATACGAGCCAACCCTCACCGTTCTATGCAAAAAAGATTCGGTGCGCATCCATCCGACCCGACCCCCTCATCAGCCGATGCAAAGAAATAGCTACCAGTGTACATCCATACGAAATCCGATCTGGAACACATCCATCCGACCCAACCTTCAATGTCGTATGAAGAGAAAACATGTATTTATCTATATGTCTATATATGTCTCTATATATATAAATATATATCGCAGTTGAAACGACTACTCCGCACGCGTCAATAGGAAACAACCCTTGTCATTTTATGCGACAAAACGTTCGGCGCACATCCATTCGGCACAACCCTCAACAGCCGATGGAGAAAAAGCAACCGGTGCACATCCATACGACACAACTTCATCATCCGATGCTGAAGAATCGCTACCAGTCTACATCCATACGAAATCCGATCTGGAACACATCCATCCGACCCAAACTTCAATGTCGCATGAAGAGAAAAACATAGATTAATAGATGCATCAATATATATATACATACATACATACATACATACATACATACATACATACATACATACATACATACATACATACATACATACATATATCGAAGTGAAAACATACTATTTGGCACGCATCAATAGCAGACAACCCTCACCATTCTATGCAAACAAACGTTCGGCGCACATCCATTCGGCACAACCCTCATCAGCCGATGGAAAAATAGCAACTGGTGTACATCCACACGACACAACCTTCATCATCCGAAGCCCAAAAATAGATACCTGTGAACGTCCACCCGACCCAGCCCTCAAACTCGTATCCAAAACATGAAAGACGACTACTCGGCACACATCCATACAAGCCAACACTGACCATTATATGCAAAAATGGTCGGTGCACATCCATCAGGCATAACCCTCATCAACCGACTTAAAAAAGCAGCAACAACAACAACATCAGCAACAACAATAACGAAAAACGGCGCACATCCATACAACACCACCGTAATTATCCGATTAAAAAGTAGAATTTGGTACACGCCCATCCGACCCAACCTTCCAAGTTTAATGTACAGAACTGTACTCGGTGCGCAGATGCTAATTTTCAACATCGACCCACCCCTAGCTCGGAAGAGATCCCTGAGCTCAAGAGGCAAACAAAAGTCAACACACACACACACACACATCGCAACTACATGCTACAACGATACGTTTCGGGCACCCCTCGCCGATTCCGATTGGGGACCCAAGCGCTCCCCAGGCTGTTCTTTCGCAGATCGCAGCCTCCCAGGAATGCAAAATCTAATTTGAATCTGCGTGGGGCGTCACTCCGCTGAAACCCCAGCAGCCTTCAAAAGTGACGACACTTTTGCAGCCCCCCAAGGATGGCGAAGTCTAATCTGAATCTGCGTGTGGCGTCACTCCGCTGACCCCCTAGCAGCCTACAAAAGTGGCGACGGTTTCGCAGATCGCAGCCCCCCGGGATGGCGAGGTCTAATCTGCATCTGCGTGGGGCATCACTCAGCTGGACCCCCAAGCAGCCTTCAAAGGTGGCAACAGTTTCACAGATCGCAGCCCCCAGGGATACAAAAAGAACCCGACGCAGAAAAGTTGGGAATAGTCCCCAGTCGCACCCCGAGGCCCGTCGAAAGGGCGGGCTGTTTGTTTCGCCTGAAACTTCTGATCGTACCAGCCTTGCAGACGTGCTGCAGCAGATTTCTGCGTGGATTTCTGTGTGGATTTGTGCCCGAAGTGGCGAGCGAAAAACGGAGTGAATTTCTGGTCTTCAGTCCTGGCCAAAAAAAAAGCAAAGCTCACGAAATTCACCTCGAAATCCGGAACGAAATTCTCCAGGCCACCCCGGGCCCACCCTATCGTTTTCCTTTCCGAACGAAATCCGCTCTGCGATGTTGGCGCCATGACACTTTATCACCACTTGTGACCCTAAAGCTAATTAGTTGCAACAGCTTCACGGATGGAGGGCCGTCCGCTCTCAAAACTTGGCTCTGGCCCGAGCGCCGCGCACACTCGTTTTCAAGCAGCGCAGAAGGTTAACGAATGGACGGCGGCCCGTTTTCAGGTTGATCCGTGGCGCTGGAGTCCCGTACATCGGGGTCTTCAAACGGTTGCCTTCCAACGAGGCAGCTCCCTCAGTGGAAGTGAGCCCTTGTAAGGGGCCTTGGGGGAGGAAGCTTGGAGGGAGGGTGTACTCCAACATCGTTGACGACTCTTGGGCTTACACTGGTCAAAGTGTGGCTCATCGCCGTAGCACCGCGCACATCCGCTGCAAAGATGTCAGGGCTTCACGGCTGGATGCGTGCTGCTGTTCCAGAGTGTGGCTCTCGATCCCGCGCCGCACGGATTCGGCTCGAGAGTTCGCAGGAGCTTCACGGATAGAGGCGGGCTCCTTCTCAAAATGTGGCTCTCGCCTGGGTGCCGCCGCATTCGTTTCAAGAGTTCGCAACTGTTTCAAAA